TATATATATATATATATATATAAACTCTTTGATCAAGGAAAACTATTGTATACGGACAATAATAGACATTGCATTTATAAAACTAATTTTTTATATTAATCTTTGTAATCTCACAACCTGTGTGGAAGTGTGTTACCAACTTTAAAGACATCTTTACTCTTACCAACTGATTTAATTTAGCCTGTTGGTAAACTGTGTGAACTACAAACGTTTAAGCTAACGTCTTGAGTGTCTTTATCTATAAGGCAGTTTAAGTGGAACTTTTGAAAGTTAATATATTTCTGACAGTTACCAAATAGAAACATACATTTTTTTTTTAAAGATGGAAATTTAATCTGAACCTTTTGTCTGAGTTCGTAAAAATGTGGTAGAATTGGGGCTGGGGATTTAGCTCTGTGGCATCGTGCCTGCCTTGCAAGCACAAGGTCCTGAGCTTGATCTTGGGTACCCCCCCCAAAATGCGGTAGAATCAAGACCACTTTCGGAATTCACATGCCATGGTAACCTTTAGAACAACTGATATAAATCATTTGATTAAAAACAGTTTCTTTATAAACTACTTAATATATATTTTGGTACTACTATGCAAAACTTCTTTCTCACTCATTGTGGGCTTGTGTTTCACTTTCAGTCTGACAAAATAAAAGCATTGCAAAGAATTATTTCGTGGTGTATTTTTAGTTAGGTACCAAGGAATAGGCCACTGTTTGAACTTGTGCCAAATGATTCTTCCAAAGATGTCTCTTCTCCAAGCACCAGGTCTAGCTTTTTCTTGACCAGTCTGAAGAAGCCTTAAAGAATCTTCTCTTTCCTGAACAACTTTATCTAATGCATCCATGGAATCATCTCCCTTCTCCAACCATTCTGACCTTTGCATTAGCAATCTCTGCTGCTTGGCTTCCTGTTCTAGCGTGAGAAGTATTTCAGTAAGACATTTCAAAGTTTATGTAAATTTTCATTACTTTTTTTTTTTTTTGGCAGACAGTTTGATATAGCTCCAGATTTTACTTTTTCTTCTAGTTCTTTGGGTAATCAAAAAATTCTTCTAGCTCTTTTTTTGATAGAGTTATATGAAATAATCTGTACTGGCGAAAGGACGTGACATGTCATGCATTCTTAGGTAACGAACTAACAGAAAACTTTGTTCTAACTGGAGCCTTAGGAATTATTAAGGACCCTGAAGCCTTCACAACTACTGAGATTCTTCTACAAAAAGTAGCCACACTAGCTTTTTTTCTCATGGTTAAGCAAACCCTGTTTCTGCCAAGCGTGGTTGCTTCCAATGCCTCACACCAGCTGGATAAAGAGAAATGGAACAGGCCCTCGCCTTCACTCAGCATGGCAGGCTGTCCCTCAGCTTTGCCTTCATGGGTTGATTCATTGTCTCTGCTCTCATTACTCTCTCTGCTTCTTCCTTTGGCCACTTGCTATCACAAATGCCATGAGTTTATCCCAGTGGATTTCTTTGAACGCCACCTTGGCATTCAACTTGGAGGCTTTCTCACCCACGTTTTCCTGAAGACTGTTGGTGTGTGCTAGCCTTGGGAAAAAGTCAGAAACATACATATTAACATGAATCCTATGTAATCTTTATGTTATTAAACTTTAAGGCTTTTGTTAGCTCTGTGTAAGTCTTGAGCTTATCAGTTTTCATCTGGTAATATTTTAAATGAGTTTGGCTACCCTGAAAACCTATCTGAAGAATTTTTCCATGGACATCTCAAAAAGAGTTAAATAAATTGTTTCTCTCAAAAAAAATTTTTTTTCTTAAATGAAGCAGCTGCAGATGTTGTAACTTGTTATTAACACAGATTAAACAGACATAGAGAAGGCAATTACATTTAAATCAGAATGAACTCTCAGATGTATTGACTGTATTTAACTACAATAACTGTTTTACAGTTTTTAGGTTTATACCTATAAATAGACTGACTAATCAGAACTTTTCCTGTAGGCCGTCAATTAGTGGAGATCTCTTATAATAAGAATCAGAAGGAAAAGAATTATTTTATACCTGTGAGGGCAAGAACTGTTTTTAAGAAGGTTTATCTTAATTTTAGAATATCTATACAGACTTCTCAGGGCCCTCTGTTATTTTGATAGCCACGGACAAAACTGTTTTGATAGCCACATATAACTAACTGTTCCCTCTAAAGGGGCAGAATGTTAAAGGTAACTTCAACTATGTTATTTTCAGGAAAGTGCTCAGGTGAGGTTTGGATGTAAGAAGAAACTAGGTAACACTTTTTGGAGTAAAATATGTTTTACAAAAGGTGAGGAAATAAATAAAGCCTGACAAGGCCCCAGTCTACACTGATACAGATGCCTACCTATGGCATTTTCTTCCCTGTTTTGGAAAGAACCAAGTGGAGAGAAGATATACTTGTCTATCCTTGTTTGTTCTGTACTCCTTATATATAAGGTCTCACTTAGGTTTGACCTCATCCAATGCCAGCAGCAGTCAGCTGGAGGTGCTTAAGGAAGTGGCCAGAATGAGGTCCTCTGATCTACTGGCATCTGCACCCATTTCCTTGTTATCCTGTGGCCCCTTGGCTCAAACTTAACTACAGGATTTTCCTTTTTCTGCCCTCAGCATATCACTTGAGTGTACCAGCCAATACATTTTTTGGCTGGTAGCCAATAGTTACCATCCTGGCTACATGTTTTAGAGAGTTTGTTTTTTTTGTTGTTTGTTTTGTTCTTGATAATGGCCACTGGGATGAAAACTCTCACTGTAGCTTTGATTTGCATTTCCCTGATGGTTAAAGGTAGTGAGCATTTTTGCATATATTTATTGGCACCTGTACTTCTTTTTAGAAGTGTCTATTCAGTTTATTTGCAAATTTTTAAGTTGGGTTACATGTTTTGTTGTAAAGTTTTTTGAGTTCTTTATATATTGTGAATATTAATCCTCTATCAGATAAACCTATCGGTTGTCTATTCACTATTCATTGTTTTCTTTGCTGTACAGTTTTTTAATTTGTTGTAATCTCATTTGTCAGTTCTTACATATGTTTTTTGCTTATTGATTTTGTATTAAGCTACTTTTCTAAATTCATATTCTTTACATAAGTCTGATTAGTTCAATATGTTGAACTAAAACAGCAGGAATCAAAAATTTCAATAAGTAATATTTTGGTTAAACATTATATACTATGCAGATAAATAAAGATGAGCTATTTAAATAGTAGATTCTCTTTTCTGTTACATTGTTTGTGATTATGCCTACTATGATACTTAGGAATAAAATATATTAAATTTTTAAGATGAAATTATTTCAGTATTTCAAGTTTATTTTTATTATCTTTTTTAGGAGCTGTGGCCCTCAAGAATCTTGAAATTAAAGAAAATGCTTTGGTAGGTTTTGACTATGAGAATTTGTAATATTAGTATAGTTGACTGTGCATACTTCTTTCATTCAGATTTCCACCTTAAATTATTTAAATTTGAGAAAAATTTTTAGAAGTTATTTTTATAAAATGTCAATTTTGCAAAATTGAGCTTTACTTTCCTTAGAAGCACAGTCTCACAACGTATTCTTTCCTGTTTAAAATATTTGTAGTTTATTTCCAATATAGATTTATTTTTAGTGATTATCTTCTATCTGTTTTCAAGTTTTGTTTAACACCATATGACATGTTCAGTTCGGTTTCATGAATTTATGCACAATTTTGTACAGTTATCACAGTATTGATATTCACAACTTTTTCACATCCCCAAGAGAAACTCTATAATCTGTTCCTATTTCATGTCTTCATAGACTCTGGACATTTTTCTTTATTGCAAACTGAAGTTTTCAGTCCCTTCTTTCCACCCACAAAAATTTGCCAATTTTAGGTATTTAATATAGATGGAATCGTATCATATTTTCTATTTGTTTAGTTATTTCACTTAGGATAATGTCTTCAAGGTGCACCAATCTTATAGCATGTATCAGGAGATCTTATTTTTAATGGTCAAGTAATACTTCACTAGGTATATATACTTATTTTGTTTCTCCTGCAGCTTTTCATATGCTTCAGCTATTTCTGTCTTTTGGTTTTTACCAGAAATGCTGCAGTGACTATTAGTGTGCGTGTGTGTGTTCCACAGCCTACTTTAATTTTCTTTGGTTATAAACCTAGCAGTAAGATTACTGAGTCAGATGATAATCTGTATTTAGCTTTTTCAGGAACCACCACAGGTTTTTCTATAGGCATTATACCCTTTTACATTCCTTCCAGCAGTGCACAAGGGTTCTAATGTCTATATTCTCTGTATCTTGCAGCATTTTTTATCTTCTGCTTTTGTTTGGTAATCACCATTCTCATGGTTGTGAAGTGATACCTTATTTTGATTATAATTGCCCTAAAGACTAGTGACATTTGCCTAATGACTGGTAATGTCAAGCATCTATTAGCATGCTTATTGCCAGTTGTAGATGTTCTTTGAAGAAATGTCTTTTAAGTCTTTTGCTATTTTACAATCAGGTTTTGTTATTGTAGTGGTTGAATTTTTGGAGATTTTTGTATATTCAGCATATTGATCCCTTACAATATACATAATTTGCAAATGTTTTTTTCCTTATTTCAAAAGTTTCCATAACTCTTCTGGTAGTGTCCTGTGATGCACAGACATTTTTAATTTGATAAAGGCCAGCTCATCTACTTTTTGAAATTTTCTATGTTTTTATTATCATTTCCAGGAAATAATTACTAAATCTGATATCATTAAAGAATTCTTGTTATGTTTTCCTCCTAGTGTTTTATGGCTTTAGCTCTTTTGTTTAATTTATGACCATTTTGAGTTTTTGTTTTTTTGTTTTATAATACTGGGGCTTGAACCCAGCCCTTGTGATTATTTTGAAGCAGGGTCTAGCTAAGTCACTAACTTGCCCTGGCTGAGCTTGAACTTGTGGTTTTTCTGCCTCAGCGTTCTAGTGTATGGGGATTATAGGCATCTGCCACCATGCCCAACTTTAATTTTTATGAATGGTATAAGATAAGGGTTCAACCTCATATCTTTGCAAATGATGTCTTCTTTACCTCGCACTTTTTATTCTAAAGGCTGTCCTTTTCCACCTTGAATGGAGAGAAATAGTTTTACAAAATAATTTTTTTGAATTGAATTTTACAAAATAAGTCTTAATTCCTTTAGAAGCACAAACTGATAGTATGTCTTACCTCTCCTTTTTTTAAAAACATACAAAGGTGGTAATTCTCACATGGGTAGATTTTTTTTGATCAGTATTAATGTGGGCATTTCGTTTTAAAAAATGTTTTAATTTTAGTGACTTGAGAATACTGCAGTTAAATTCTTACATAGTTGAAGAATGTGCAAGGTAATTTAAAAACTTTAATTTTAGGAACAAACATCTGTGTATTGTTCAATTTTATATATACTAATGTTTTACATATTTATTTACTTTTTTATTGTAGAGTCAACTGGATGTACCATTTAAAGTTAAAGTTGGCCACATAGGTAAGTCATACTTCTTGAATGTTCTTGGTGGACATGCAACTAGAATAATTTCTATATTGTAACCTTATATATGTTTCTCAGCCTCAATTTAAAATATAGTAATCATGTGTTCTTCTTAAGTAGAACTTAGTTGTGTAACTTAAAAAGTATTGTGAGGTTCATATACTCTGTTCCCAACAACACTCAATACATGTGTAATTAAGTAATGACACATCTTACTAAGTATTAGGATTGAGTTGAGAGCCAAAGCATTGCATCTAACAGAAAGCTTACCAGTCTCAATTTTCAAGGTTTCTGAATAGTTGCCAATTCAGTATTTTAACTGGTGCCGGGCATGTAGTGTAAAGAGCATGGTCTAGATTATCTGGGCACTGTGGCCAGGAGCCAATCTGAAAACTTGGGTCTGCTCTGGAAGTTTTTCCAGTTTTCCAGAAGTTATTGTGCTGTTTCTTGCTTTGTTTTATTTTATCTGTGTTTATAGTTTGTACTTCTTCTGAGAACTGTGTATTCATTTCAGTTACTCATATTTTTGACTGAGTCTTTTTTTGGGGGGGAAGTCTAGTTTTTTTGAATTGTTTATATATTCTAGCTATTAGTACTCTGTCCAAGGAAGAGCAGGCAAACATTTTTTTCCATTCTGTAAGTTGTCTCTTCACTCTGTTGGTTGGTTTCCTTTGCTGTGCAGAAACTTTTTAATTTGGTATGATCCCATTTCTTGATACTACTTGATACTGTTTCTTGTACAATTGGGCTTTTGTTCAGAATGCCTATGCCTTCAAGAGTTTTACATATTTTATCTTCTACCAGATCGTTTCTGTTTTAACATTTAGATCTTTGATCCATTTTGATTTTAGTTTAGTACATGGTATCTGCCACTATTCCCAGAACCACTTGTTAAAGAGGTGATCTTTCCTCCAGTATATGTTTCTGGCTCCTTTGTGAAAGATCTAGCTGAATTTGCTTCTGATTGTTTCTCCATCCCATTGATCCACATGTCTTTTTTTTTTTTTTTTTTTTTTTTTTTTT